ACCCTGGATCCAGCAAACAGCCCCAGACCATCACACTTCCTCCTGCATGTTGATGCCACACACTGTGGAACTTTGTCCTATTCTGACGTCTGGCTTTCTGTCTGCAGCTCGTCCTGTCAAACAGTAGAAACTGAGACTACGACTATGAAGCTGCTTGAAGCTGTTGTCCTGTGAGCCGCCGTCACACAGCTGTTAACTCTCAGAAACTTGGCTCAGTCGTGTCTTTGGCTCTGCAGACCTGTTCCTGTCACAGGTTGTTTCTCATTTGATGGTGAAGGAAACTGGACTCACTGACACCTCGACTCTGTCTGCATCTCTCTGCAGCACAGACCTGCATCTATAAGTGTTGTGATGGTCTGTGTCTCATCACTCTTTGTGCAGCACTGTTCAGCTGATGCTGACGAGGGTTTGTACCACAGTGTGTCCAGCACTGCTTCATGCAGACAGACTGAAGGTCACACCTGTAGGAGTAGCAGCAGCTTCTGCAGAGCAGCTGCTGCACTGTTAGCCCGTGTTGTTCCTGAGAAAGGCCTTTTTGTATCATTGTGAATGTGCATTATGTTGTTTAACCTCAACACTTACTTTGTTAACTTATCATTAGTAGTAATAGTGTTGTTTTTAGTCATGCATGCATACTTAAGTATTAGCAGATTGTTTGATTTGCTAGTAAGATCACTCAAGAACATTTGCATTAATTGCTTGTAATGGTGCAAAGTGAAACAATCAGGTGTGAACTTTGTGTCAAAGTAAAAGTTCACCGTGCCCCTTCAGGTGTGGGTGGAATTGAAGCAGAAGCTGTTATGCTGGGTCAGCCAATCAGCATGGTGCTCCCCGAGGTGGTGGGCTACAAGGTGCACGGCGCTGCGGATAAGTTCATCACGTCCACCGACATCGTCCTGACTGTTACCAAGGTAGGAGGGCGTTCGATGCAGCTGTTCCAACAGCAGTCAGCGCTCTGACGTCACAGCTGTGCTTTCTGCACGTGCCCGCAGCACCTCCGTCAGGTGGGCGTGGTAGGAAAATTCGTGGAGTTCTTCGGCCCAGGCGTGGCTCAGCTGTCGATCGCTGACAGAGCCACCATCGCCAACATGTGCCCAGAGTACGGCGCCACGGCAGCCTTCTTCCCCGTGGACGACGTCAGCCTTCAGTATCTCGAACAAACCGGTGAGCTGGTTTGACCTCAGCACAAAGGTCTTCTTCACTTCTTCAGTGCAGACGATTCTTTTTGTTTATGCGACTCGTTTGTCTAACATCAGGACGGGAGCCAGAGAAGTTAGCATACATTACACAGTACCTGAAGGCGGTGGCCATCTTCAGAGACTACAACGATGTGTGTCAGGATCCAGAGTTCACTCAGGTCAGCCTCTGACTCCCTTTATGTTTGCTGAACCCAGAAAACACTCGATGTGTTCATGAGAAACTCTGTTTACAGCTTTTGTTTTGTCTTTTAATGGCAACAGAAAATTGTGACATGATGCAAATGTAATAAGAATAAAGCTGGAGTATTATGGGATGTGTCTGTCCTCCTTAGGTGGTAGAACTGGATCTGAGCACGGTGGTTCCCTGCTGCAGCGGTCCCAAAAGACCTCAGGACAGAATTCCCGTGTCTGACATGAAAAAGGATTTTGAAGCTTGTCTGGAAGCAAAGGTGCGTTCCTGCACATTTACAGGTGGAGGCTGCTGACACTTAGCATTAGCTCAGCAGCATCACTGCTTGTAGCACATAAGAAGCTCTGAAAACGTTCGTTTCTCTGATTCTCGCCTCAGCAAGGCTTCAAGGGCTTCCAGGTGGCTCCGCAGCACCACAACGCTACAGCCCCCTTCCAGTTCAACGGGAAGGAGTACGCGCTGAGTCACGGCTCGGTGGTTATCGCTGCCATCACAAGCTGCACCAACACTAGCAACCCATCTGTCATGCTGGGAGCAGGTGGGTGTGCTGAGCGTCACTGTCACACAGCTTTCTGACAGTGACTGAATGAGAGTCTGTCTTCTCTCAGGACTCCTGGCAAAAAAAGCAGTTGAGTGTGGTTTGAGTGTGAA